TGGACCACACGCAGATGAAAAAGAGTGAAGTAGCAAGAACCAAGAAGCATTTTCAGGTCAATTTATCGAGACCTTTCAGCGAGGCGTAGCTGAAGGTCTGTTTCTCGACAATCGAGCCTATTGACAATTGCCGCCAGTAAATCAAGATGGCGGCGCTTTTGTGGGCCCAGCAATGCCCACGGAAAGATGGTGATGCGGTCACAGCAAAAGCTTTTGCTCCTACGCCGCTTCTATTGTCGCGGCTACGATTCGAGTGGAACCGACTTCGAGGTGTAAATGTCAACGATAAAAAGAAAGGAAACTGGAAGATGACCTTTCCTGTTTACACTTCACCGGTTACTCCATTCATCGTCGCGAACGAATTGCTTCTAAATTGCTGTACTTTTTTCTTTCCCCCGTGAATTTTAATATTCGAGTTCGATTTTTGTCTAAAACCAAAATCGAAGAACTTGTTTTATATCTTTAATGAGTGTTTGAGTTAATTGTTCATTGGTCAATTTGATTTAATATTGAGGCGTAGTTTGAAGTTTTAAAAAATAGAAATTATACGCGAATATAATATTTCATTAATTTTTTTATTAATTTTATTCACATACGTATGTGAGATTATTTTAAATGTTTTTTATGTCTTTGGATTTTAAATGCAATGCTCCAAATATGTTCTAAATTTATCTATAATGGCTATAAAAAAATGATATTTGTATATGATTATGTTTATTGTAGATGCTGATTAATTGAATCCAAGTATTATTATTTATTTTAAATCATCTAATATTCTTCATACGATCGATACTCTCTATTAATCATTTTAAACCTAACTATTGAATAGGATTTTCTTACAATAAGATTATGGGAACGTGTAACACAATATAAGACCGGAAATTGTAATATAGTTTATTCCTTTTTACGTCCGAAAAAATATCGAGGGTAAAAAAAGTAGAAAGTCGAAGATCGGTGTGTGAAACGAATCACGAAATTGCTAAGACCGACAGGAAAAGAAAATTTTACGGTCATTTTTGATGGAAATCAATGTAAGAGACACACATCGATTGTTATCGATATTTGATTTTTTTAAAAACAATATTAGCGTCTTCTCGATAATTTATTAATTGATATCTAATATTAGTGATTTTTTTAAATGCAATTGTAAATTAGACATATATTTAATGCGCATAAAAATAAATACAATTTTGTTTTTAATATTGAATTAAAATAATAATTTCATAAAAAAGTTAATAAAAATTGATTTGCATTCCTGTTAACGTAGAATTCTCAATTTTACAATTTTAAATCAAAGAGAACGATAGTAATTATTTTGATCAATTTTCAAAAGAATGAAATAAAATTTTATGTTTTATAATTTTAATAAAAATTCATGAGGATTTATTTATTTGTAAATATTATAATATAATATAAAAAGACAATAATTTTGAATAAAAAAAATATTCAACTATCACTAAATGCTCCTTCTGTTGTAATATATTAATTTTACAATTATCACACATATACACGTATATATATTAAATATAAATAGTTTTTTAAAATTATATTATGTAATAAAATATTAAATAAAATATTATCTATAATATTTAACAGAAATGCAAATCAATTTTTATTAACTTTTTTATGAAATTATAGATGAGTTATGTATAATAAAAAGCAGAAAAATTCTAATTCTTAGAATTAATTTTTTTTATTCTAATTTATAAATGTGGAAATGCAAAATATACATCATTCTTGAAACGAATAATATTTCGAATAAATCTAATTATTCCTCCTACACTTTATTTGAAATAATATTATGATACATTTTTTCTATTAGCGATAAATATTACATCTACAATTCAATGCGTGAAAGAAGAGAAATTGTCGAAACTAATAAAGAAATATGAATGATTTCAAATATTGCTGAAAATATTAAAGATGGGAATAAAAGATCAAATGAAAAATCCTCCCTCTCTTATGTATTACTATCTGAGTTTTGCACGATATATAAATTATATGCATTTATAACATATATTTTTAGCAATAATTTCGTTTGTAATACTAATACAAAGCTCTAGCAATATAGCGAGTATAAATAAAGACAGCATATAGTAAGAGAAGGACAAAAATAGATTAAAAATTGTGCAATTAGTGCCATCTGTAGAGTACCGAGTGAAACATACAAACAGAGAAAGCAAACAATAGGAAAAGGATAGAAATAGGGTAAAAATTGACTATCAGCGCCATCTCTTGAGTATCAAAAATATTTTTTCAAAATAGGATAAAGCAAAATAAGAATTGACGACTATCGCCATCTTTTGATTGTTTTAGAAAATGATTCTTTAAAAAGATGTTCTTAATACGCAAAAGATGGCGTTGATGGTTAATTCTTCATCTTGTCTCTATCCTTTTCCTATTATTTGCTCTCCTTATTTATATGTTTCATTTGCGGCACTCTGAAGATGGCACTGATTGCATAATTTTTATTCTATCTCTGTCTTCCTTCCATTATCTACTCTTCTTGTCTATGTTTGTTCTACGCTTCAATATCTAATCAATTTTATTATTTTTTTTTCTTGTATAATTTATTGATTAAAAATCGTAACTGAATCTATTCAATTCAATTTTTATATATCATAGATAAATAAATAATTGATACAAATAATTGAATTAGTAAATTGAATTAGTAAAATAATAAAAGATTAAATTATAATAAATAGATATTAGAATTTTAAAATTGTATAATATCGATCTGGACGAATTGTTGAAAATTTACCAAAAGATTTTCTTTTGTCGTATTAATTTGATACGTTTTGACAACATTTTCAATTGTCATTGACTTTAAATCATTTATGTTTTAGTTATGTTCTATTAAAAATACCTGTAATAACGGTAAAGATCCAATATGGTCACCAGTAGTTGTTTGTCAACAGATTTTTTTTATCTATAAATAAATCTAAATCATAAATTCTTCAATAAGGCAAGGTAATTACCTTCAGTTATGATTTTTTTAAATTCAATGATGTTAATATAAAAAATAAATATTTATATTAATATAAAAAAATAAATAAATAAACAAATAAATGTTTAAATGTAGATATTGATTAGAATAAATGTTATATAATAATAAATGATTAAATTGTAAAAAATATATTTATCGCATAAGCGATAACTTAGTACAAAATGGTGATTTGTCTCTTGTGCACATAAAAAATTGCAAGAAACGAAATTCAAAAAAAGAAACGTACATTCTTTATCGATTGCATTCAGAAAGATTTTTTTAACGCAATGATTAATAATTTTAAGTGACTTTTAAATTTAAATATTGTTAATTTTGTGCATTTAACAATTTATTATAATATTAAGTAAAATAATTGATACTTTTACAAACAAAAATCAGATTTGCTATTCTATAGTATTAATTTTCGACTTATAGCTGTATTAAAATATTTTAACTGCTATTTTACGAGAAGAATGGTTATAGAATGGCCACAAATGATTACCGATTACCGGTAATAGTAATCGAGAATAACTATGATACGAAATAGAAGTCCTACTTTGTGCTAAATTAAAAGTGTCAAAACCCGTAAAGGCGAAAAAAATTAACACGTACTATTTCAATAAAATTATAATAAAATTAAAATTATAATAATTGTAATCACAAATTGCTCATCATATTAACTCACACAAGAATTTTCCAAAACGATTTACAAAGCCGTTATTTTCGCGCATATAAAGCTACTTCTAAAGGGAAATATTAACGTTCGAAACAATCACTTTTAGTATTCGGAACCGTGTTTTAGATTTTATTTTATGGTGATTTCAATAGCTAAGGATTATTTTATGGTGTTTCAATAGCTAACGGTGTCATAAACACGGTAATTCTAAGTGGTCATTAGTAACAAAACATAACGGTCCTCTCGGTCAAGGATCAGACCTAGCGGAAAAATCTGAGCGCTCATAGACCCTTGCCTCCAAACAAGGACATCTATTTCCTCCATAACTTATTAGCACGCTGATTGGCTGGTTTTCCATTTTCCATTTTCCTCAAAAGCCAATCAAAATACATGAAATTTGCAAGGATAATTCGAACAAGTATTTGTATCTTTTGACTAAAATTTTGCCATTTCAGTTCCTTTCGAACACTCGTCATATTACGATCGATCTGCATATCGCTTTATCGGAAATAATGTGAGAAAAGAAAAAAGAAAGAGAAATTTGTGATAGTGTAATTTAAAAATTTTAAAATATTATTGTGTGAAAAATTAATTATTTTTTTTTTTGCAAAAATGTCTATTTTCTTTCAATTAATGGTAAATACTTTTTTTTATAATTATTTAAAAATAAATAATTATAAATAAAATATCATCAATTAGTAATTTTTTCCAATAAATATGAAATATAAAATATTTATTTCACAATATTTGAATATTAATTAATAAGAGATGATTTATTCTGATATTTGATATTTTAAATTTCGAAAATCTTATAAGTATTCCGATACTGATTGCTATTAATGAATACTTATTAATTAGTAATAGTGATTAAATTATAAAAGTTAGAAAGAAAGAAAGAAAGTAAAATACAAATATATCTTCATTTCTCTCAATAATATTATAATAATATTTATTTCACAGTCTAAACCATTCACACGAAACTCTACAGAAGATGAATCGAGATATAATAAAAGAGAATGGAAACAGTGGATAGCATCTATTTCCGGTTGGTATTTTATGTTGCACTAAAAATGAATATTGAAATATATTTGTCACTTATAATTTTCTGAAATCTATATAAATCCCTACTTTTTTCTTTATTATAAATAACTTAATCTTGTAACTTCTAGTTTATTAAAAAATATAATTATTTAAATACTGAATATTAATATATATATTTTATTTATCCTATATTACAATACATAATTTTTCAATAGCAAAAGATTAAATTATACTATTATATAATTATACATATATTTGCTAAAGCACCATATTTTCTATTCCTTAGCAACCGTTATCATGGTGATCACCGGCACGGTTCAAGGATGGACAACAGTCTCTCTGCCCCAATTAAAAAACGGCACCTACGACAACTTACCATTCTCAATAACGAATGAAGAGATATCATGGATCGTCTGTTTGAAGGGGATCGGTTCTATAATCGGCCGACTGTTAGCTTACAATTTGGTCAACATGATCGGTCCTAAAAGTTGCCTCCTGTTATCCTGCCAATTTTTCATCTCAGGTTGGTTCCTCGTGCTGAACGCGACCACCTTGCCAATCTTGTGCAGCGCTCGAATAATTCTCGGCATAGGCGTCGGTATAACCAATACGGTGTACCCTACGTACATATTGGAAATGGCGGACAGCAACGTGAGAGATGCCTTGACCACGTTGTCCGTGACGAGCGTACCTTTTGGATCGTTGATGAGCTTCTGCATAGGATCCTTCGTGAGCGACGCGACCCTCGTCAAGATTCTTCTGTACCTATCGATATCCTCCATCCCGTTGCTCGCAATTTTCCCCGAGAGTCCTCTCTTCTTGACGAGGAAAGGTTGCATAACCGAAGCTTGCGAAGCGATATCATTCTTCAAGGACACATCTAACCTACACGAGGCGAGAAAGGAATTGGTGTTCCTTCGAAGGGCGCACTCGAGCGACGCGCGAAAATACAGGTACAAGAGCGATCGAATCACGAACGATGAATTACGAGAGGCGACGAGCAAAGGTGGAAAAAGTTGGTTGAAAAAGTTGCCCCTAATACTATTGCCGAACAACATATACGCTCTGTTCATTGGATTCCTATTGATCACGGTGCAACACTTCAACGGTTATTTCTGCATCATGGAATATTTTCTGATAATATACGAGAAAAATATAATTGACGCAGATGTAAATACAGGGATGATACTGATTCTGAGCACAGCGCTCGTATTCGCATTTTACTTCGGCACGACGTTGAGAAACGCGAAAAGGCGAGGGCGTATAATGCAATCTACGATCCTGTGCATGTGCGTGTTAATTATATGGGGCCTCGATTTTACGTTCTTTATTAGGATTAACAACGGTGAGAACGTAAGTAATCCGATAGTGTTCGCAATTTTGTACCAGATAACGTTTCAATTAGGGTTAGGGATGATACCCAACGTTGTTATCGACGAAATATTTAGCCCGGAATTGAAAGATGTAGCTGCTATCGTCGTGATGATTTACGACGATATGCTTTATTTCGTCCAGTCGAAAATGTACCTGAATTTTAACGAGAATATTGGAATCGATATGGTGTATTATTATTTCGGGATATCGTGCTTATTTTTCTTCAAGTTTATTGATCTTTTTATGCCCGAGACGAGAGGTAAAACGAACCGTTTGATACAAGAGATCCTAAAGGAGGATCTCACTTATATTTTAGGAATTTATATGCTTATAGACTTAATCGACTAAGATATATATTTTTGATACGGATTAATGGGATGAGTTGAGTTGCAAAATTTATTATTTTTTTTTTTTTTATAATAAAATTAAAAATTTTGCATCTGTGATAGAATAATTGTGATTATATCTTGTTAGATTCAAGGATTAATAGATATAATAGATTAAAATAATAGAAAATTATAGTTAAATATTATAAGATAATATAGGAGCGTCATATCGAATGTATATTATATCAAATTTATTTATTTTACATCATTTTTAACGTTTTAATGTAAATTTAGTATATAAAATGTAAATTTTATATCATATTATATTTCTAAAAATATTATATATATTTTTTATAAAATTTAATATCTCAAAAACGAATTAAGATATCGATTTGAAACAAATTATTAAAAATATGCTTTCTTCTATTTTTATAATTATTATTTATATCATTGATATTTTTATATATATCTATAAGTAATATAAAAAATTTTGTCACAATATTCATAGAAAAATTTCATTTTATTATATTTATTAGAGCTATGAGAATTAAAATTAAAAAACACCATTTTTCAATAGATAATATTGTACTAATTAAATTAAAACCAAATACCAAAATTAAAATTAATGTACATTTTTTTACAAAATACAATATTACTGTAAATCACTTATTAATATATATTTATAGTTGAAAGATAAAGAATAATATTATACATGATATTAAAAAAGACTGCAAATAGAAATATAGATGTATTATAATCTTTTTTTTATATACATATATAATAACTATTTTAACACATATATAATAAACTATTTTTCAATAAATCTATGCATTTTATAAACATTCTTGCTTTAAACTTTCTTGTAATTGAAAAAAATCTTGTGAAAATAATTAAAAATATTTATCTAGGCATCACAATGCGCATAATAATAATTATTCTAATAATAATTATCTATGTAAAATAAGTAAATGTTTTTTTAAAATATACAAAGAGACGTGTAAATTTGAAAAGAAAAAAAATGAATATTTTTCGTATTATAAATTAATGAAATTAATAATATTTTTTTTTTACAAAAGATTTTTTCATTCTTTTTTTTCTTTTCGTAATTAAATTTTTTTTTGATATAAGTATTGTTATAAAGTTTATAATATTTTACAATGATATAAATTAAAGTGTTATAAATTTTCTTTACACATAATGTAACTTTCATAATATATATAAAAAAAAATTTCTTTAATAATAATAAAATAAATTCTTCCATTTTTAAATCATCATTATGTGTATTGAAAATTATATTATAAATAATGAGATCGATTATAACAATGGAAAAATTGCGATTTATAAATATAACAATTGAAATATATTAATATTAGAAATAAGTAATAGAAATTAAAATTGTTTTATAAATGTAAATAACAAACATAAAAGTAGTAAATTTAAACCAATCATTATGTAATAAAATACAATTCTTCGAATCAATATACTATCATTTATTTATACACATATATTTAAAAATTATACTTTATAAATATAAAGGAATAATAAAGGATAATTGAGGAATATTGAATATTCTCATTTTCAAATTTACATTCACATATTTCTTTCTCTTTTGTTCACAATAATAATACATTTTGATCTGAGTTTAATCTTTTAAAATATTTTTCATACCTTTCCTGAGCAGTTATTTGTTATATCCATACACATCTCTGCTTTTTTATAGAATCAAATACATCTCTACTTTAATATACAATCAAATGTTTAAAAGAGCAAGAATAAAATTCTTTTTGAGCAGATTCAACAATTATATTTTTCAATCATTTTTGGAAACAAAAATAAGAAATGAGAAATTCCATACAATAAAACGTTTGAGAGAAGAATTTTAAAAATTACCAAGGCCGCCACATAGGATCAACTTCATCAACGCGTTCCACATCGATTTCCTCTTCATCCTCAACTTTGATCTCAGTTTTAACTTTCTCCACCGTTTGCCCCTCCTTCAAGTCTTTCGATATTTCGGAAATGCAACCTCTTTCTAGTTTTTCTCCATTTTCTACGGTCGTCCCACTGTTACATCCGGATGGTATGTTAAACGTGATTGCGTCAGGAATTCTTCCACGATAAGTGACCGCATTTTGATTGGAAGATGCTACTTGAATGTTATCGATAGGAATCGACGAAGCCAATAAATCAGTAGTAAGATCCAAACTTGCCAAAGTTTGTGTCAGCACGTTTGTTTTCAGCTGTGTAAAAACAAATACATTAAACAAATCAAACAACTTGACCATTTTCTTTCTTCTACGTGCGAAATAATTGCATTTACATTTATTAAAAAAGACTTTCGATTCTTTGTGTGGCATTAAAAAAACCAAAGAAATCGAAGCTATTTTAAAAAATAGAAATATTCCAATATTCCGTTCTAATCAAATACATCTCGTTAAAATAAAAAAAAAAACGATGAGAGATTTTAAAATATTTTTCATACCTTTCCTGAGCAAGCTAAGTCGTTTGTTACATCCATAAACTCTCATCTCTGCTTCATAGAACCAAATCTCTACTTTAATATAGTCAAATGTTTAAAAGATCTTGATAAAAAGAAAGGGGAGATGAGAAAAAGAAAAAGAAAAAAAAAAAAGATTTTCAAAAGCGACGAGTTACGATTCATCGTTCAATTTCGTCTGAAAGTAAGTGCAAAGAGGGCGCCACACGTCAATCTCGGTGGAGAAGCGCGGATAATCCGGGGGTAGGGTAACTTTCGTCTCTTCGATCGATGATGATGAGATAATTACCGTCGAATTCGTTTGCCGGCTCTTTTGAAGGCCAGCTGCGAGGTGCCTCGCTAATCTTTCCGCGCCTTCACCTGGAACAGCCGAGAGAAATCTGTACGCTTCAGCTGCGCAGTGGCCGAAACCGGATAACCACCGATTTTCGGCCGAGACCTCGTCGTTGTTCGTGACGGTGTCCGGCAATCCGGTGGAGGATCGTGAGCCCTGCAGCCTTTGTAAATGGCGCACGGTCAACTCCAGAATGTCCGCTTTCTCCAGCTTGCTTATGTCCTCCCCTTCCGTCTGCGACCAATAAATTTCTCATCGTTCGATAATTCGAAATGAGGCAGAAGCGTGTTTCTTCTTTGTGAGAAGTTGGGGTAAACATCGTTTTTTTGCGAGGTTTAATTCTTCATGTAATACGATAAAGTGATACGCGTGTAACACAAAGAATAATGTAATTTAGTAGTCAAATTAATTGATTTCTAAAATTTATTATTTTTGTAATGATTAAGTGTATTGAGTGTTAATCGAAACAGATTATAGTTGGTATTTATTATTCAATGATATTTGGTTACTTAAAAAATATACAATAAATCATAAATTGATTGTTGTAAATATTGTAAAAAAAAAATATCGTGAAGCAGTTTTCTGTGAACTAATTAACATGCGTTTCTTGAAATAAATAAATAATATGCGTAAAATGTAAGAGTAAACAGAATGTGTTAAAAAAAAGGAAAAAAAAACTATATAAAATTAAATCGTGCAAGAAAATACTGTGTAAAATGTGGCCCGGATATAATTTGTTTTTAACGTTTTTAAGCATAATTTGGGTTGGTAAACATTTTAAAATTACTACCGATTTCGAAATAAGTGTAAATCATAATTACAGGTACAGGTATAAACGATCTTCCTTCCCTAAATATATTATTGATATTATGTATTGGATTAATACGACAGAAAAAAATAGTATCATGAATGAAATCGAAGCAACAATTTTTGCTTTCTCATTTATTACGATCCGATACACCTGTTCTTTCCATGAATCTTTCATTCAACGTTGCAAACTGCTATCATCATCCAATGAAAATTAACTAAAAATACTGATATTATCAAACAGTTGCTTGTTTCCTATGTAGAACGATTCATAAATTTTGACGTATATATACAATTTTTTAAATGACACTGATGATACGGTGCAAAAAAAAAATGAAATAAGTATTTAAAAGGAAAATATAAATTGGATGCAATTTAAATATTCAAATTAAGTCAAGTAACTCCACAATATCGAAATATTAATTTCATCGAAATTACTGATATTAACATAGAGAAATGTGAGTGAGTATTTTGATCGTAAATAGGTCAAAATATAAAATGACAAAAATTTTTTCTTGGAAAAGCTTTTGATCGATATTGTAATTTGATGAATTGATTTTCTTCATTTTTGAAGTTTTCAACGTACGATAAAATATTTCGATATGTTTCAAAGATACGAGAAAAATTTTTTTCAAACGCTTTGCTGAATTTCCGTACTCTTTCGTGCTCTATATCCTGTTTCCCATACTTTTGCCGCTCGAAAGAGTTTCTGATAGACTAGCGAAAACGTGATCAAAATGAGAAGCTATCTCACGATCGAATATAAAAACAGACGTGTATTTGTTTAACACGATCATTCCGACAGAAGAACCGAGACGAATTTGAATTTCAAAGGCGTACGTAAATAATCTGTAAGCGTGAAGAGTTTACGCTTCATGATTCCATGGAATGGTCAGTAAGGAATCTGATGGACCTTCCAACATTAATTATTTGAATAAAAATATTTTAATCCCAATACATTTATAACATTCGAGTCCCTAATTTCGAATGAATATACGATAAAACAAAAATATTTATATAAAATTGTTTTTGGTAAGTAAAAAATGGCACTTAATTTTTTAAGAAATATCGTGACTTTATCATATGATGATAAAGAAGATAGTAACTTCTTGAAAGTTACTCGATATCTTCATAGATGGCGCAAAACTAAAAACCTATATTTGATATTATCTAAGATTAATCTAATTTAAAAAAACTTTAATATTCATATTTTTGTTTATAAGAAACTTGTGCAATTTTTATTCCTTTTTATATGTGAGTATCAAGTTGATTTTTTTCTTATTTTCTGGAATACAACATTATCGTAAATCGAACTTCTTTATTGCAAAAAACGATATGAAATTAAACATCTTATTTAGAAATCTTATATACAATAATTGCATTCGATAAAATTCTTTCTGACCACAGCAAGGTTTCAATTTATTATTTTTCTCCTCTCTAAGTTTCCAAAATAAAATTCAAAATGGAAAGAAACATCAAAGTAAAGCATTTCCTTAAATTAAGAGCAACATTAACTCGTGAATTCATTCGTAAATAATAAAATTAATTACAAAAGATGTAATAAAAATTTTTTTTCAATTCAAAGAATAATCATCTCACATAGAAACCATATTACATATACCTCTATCGCATAAATCTCGACCATATAATTAGCTACCATTAAATCACTAAATCCTTCGCGTGATCATATGTGCCATTTCATGCATGATTCTGTTCGATATTAAAGCAAATGCAATATTCCATTCGCGATAAAAATGTAATCGAGTTAGCAATGTTGAAAAATGTGTGTCTTCATACTATTTCGATAACAGCTTCGCACGATTGCAAAATTGCAATCTTTTACTTACTCAAGCAAAGTTGCTGCACCGGTATTACCACTTCGTAAAATAGGTTTTTATCTTTGTATAAATTTTCTGTTGAAGTACAGAAATGTTGATTCGTTAGAAAACTCGTGTGGATTGCAGTAAATTGCAGTATTTATCTCTAAGTTTTGTATTTTTCGCGTTTTAACGGAAATAAAAAATTATTTATAACTTTGAAAATATTTTTCGACCCACGTTCATTACAAATATTTTTCCATCTGACTTTCTTAAAAACTTATCATATATCCCTTTTATCGTCACTATTGCACGTTCAATAATAAAGAGAAATTAAAAAACACTGATTTATAATTAATTAAATTTCTATTTCAACTCTTTTCTTCTTCCACCCTTGAATCAATCAATTTCTATTTAATCTTGTGCAATTATTATTACAGTAAGACAATCATTATACATAATTTTAGATTTATATTTGTTATTATATTATAATAATTTATAATATATTTATTTAACTAAAAATAATATATATGCGAATAATTCCTGTATAAAAGGCAAGTTTAACAAAAGAAAATGAAAATCACCATTATCTCCATTGAATAAAAATTTCAAACTTTTTCCCTACCAGTTCTTACCACAAAACAAAGACCACAAAAGAGGGAAATCTCATTAATCAATTCGCACGGTGTTTATCTCAAAGTAGCGGTATACAAAGGTAATTTATCTGAATCCTTATCGAGCGACGTCAGATCCCTCCCCCCATGCTAACTGTTCGGTCAAAAGACATCGCAATTAACGCCATGTATTAAATGTAATGAGCATGGTCGAAGCGTTAAATACCGGCTTTCATAATTACTGGCTTGAGTCGCGTGTTACTCTTGTCACTGTATAGCGAGCGAGCGTGAGTTTCCCACGGTCTAGGAATATTTAAGCATCAAATCGATTGCACGCGTAGCTGCGGACCGAGAATGCATTTCCTGCTGCGAGCGACTCGTGAAATTACAGAGGGGAAACGTGGTATCGCGGCCGGTAAGTCGAGCAAGAAACCGTGGCTTCCTTCCAAAGGTTTCTCGATGGAGGGAAAAAAGCATAGCACGTGCTCGTTCGACCAATGTATCGCCGTACAGAGCCGTCGATGAAATCACGGCTCTGGTGACATTTATAGCATTGCCACTTTATCTGTATTATTTTTCCTCGTTCACGGTTCCGTGAGTGTATAAGATGTTTCCTTCAGTTGCTTTTTTTTTCTTTTTTCTTTTTCTGAATTTTGCGAAACTATTGTGAAAATAAGACAGGGGCGTGCAAAAGTTCAGTCGATTTTCAGTCATTGTTATTTAAATTATGGGTCTACGTGATTAATTCTATGAATGCAATATAGGGTATTTTTCAAGGGTATTTTTCTTTAAAATTTCTGTCGTGAAAGTATAAATATCAGGTATACGTTTAAAAGTTTTGATGGTAATATGAATGGTGAAAAGATGATTTATTGTGCTTCTTTTCTTTATAGCCTATGTATATATAGAGTATTCTATATAGGCTATTTTTATAAGAGAAAGTTTCTCTTATAAAAGTACGATATTTCCATAATTCAAAATATAATACGAAATTGATTCTATATAAATAAATACAATATTTCAAAATAATAAAATATTTTGATAATAACTTAATAATCTGACACATAAATATTTCTTGTCTATCTTGGATATATGTTCGATTTTATTATAAATATGGAAAAATAAATTTCAAAAACTTTTATAAATGTAATTGTAAAATATTTCAAAAAGTTATTATTTCAATTTCATCATAGCAATTAATTATTTAATCATCGTTGAAATTCAAGAAATTCAACAATTTGTCAGTCAAATGATCTCATAATTTAAAATAAAAATTATTTGAAATGAAATTAACGAAATATTATTGATTAAGGATCAAAGACAACATAATTCATTATAAATATATATAAAAATAAATGTAGAAAGAGGATCTTTATTAATTAGAATAAAAATGTAGATATTAAAAGGGAAATATTGCAATTTTGCATGAAATTATGTAATAATTCATGAAAAGTATAATAATACAATAACAAATACGTACCTCTAATGCATCTATCATAAGATTTTTTAACTCATCGAGGCATTTATTTATGCGCGCACGTCGTTTTCTTTCCAACAATGGCTTCGTTATCTGTTGTAAATAAAATAACAAACCTATATGAAGTTTTGCAAGATATAAACAAATGAATGAAATATGGATTATCAAAATTTTATTTTTATAAATAAAATCTCTTAAATTTTTGTATAAAATAAAAAAAAGGAAAATTTTAATTATATATAAAATATATAATTAATTATATTACACGATATAAAATAGATATTCAATCTATTTCTTTCTATTTTACTTACTTTTTTATATCGGTATGTCTTTGAAACTGGATGAGGAAATTCGTATGACATCATTGCATGAGTTATATCTCTTCAAGATTTGATAAACATCCACATTTGATTGTCGAAGAAGTTGATATATCTTGAAATATAAATATTGAAATCAAAATATCTAAAAAGAAAGGCTTAATAATCATAAATTGAAAAATGAAATAACTCTTAAAATTATTCACTTTTTTTTTTAACATATCACAATCTATATTAATCTGTCAAAATAGATGTAAATTGTGATATTTCAACAAAAATATTTTTGTCTTTTCAGAAATTATAAATATACAAATAAAATATATCTTGTTTGATAAATAATTATCAATAGACAATCACAATGATTTCCAATGATTTCTATATACACGATCAAAAATAAATACATTGTAACAACTTTCAAATGAACTTTTAAAAAAGGAAAGTTATATCAAAATATAATACACATTATAATCAATTCTTTAAATATAAATTTACCAATGAAATTCATCGATATAAAAACCATTAATTTCCATTTATTATTTTTCGTATATCAACGTATTATAAATTTCCCCAAACTTCCCAATACTTCAAAAACGAAAGCTAATACACATCAATCCTTCAAAATTTATCTAAATTTCATCTCGAATAAATGTATCTCAACGATCGAACCGCTTACCCTCGATTGTCGATCCACTTTCAGAACCACAATCCTCACAAACCGTCAACCGAAGCATACATCGTCAAACGCGGTTATACACGTACAAACTTCATATTAAACTTGAACGAGCGACGGAAGCCCCATTCGACACTTTCCATACACGTGAACGTATAGGAAAACGTGAGATCGAATATCTGTGACAAATATAGAGTGAAAATCACCGACACCTAGAAGAACCTAACGCACCGCGTGCAGTCTCTAGACAAACTGACTCGCCGCCGCCATTCAAGTAACCGCTACCCTCACCAACTTGGAACCCTCTGCAGAAGCTACTCTTCTCAAGCCAGAAGGTCGGTCTAAATGCTTTGATTGTGTTGTACCTACACCTTGAAGCGTGACGGGCGTCCCGACGCTCGTTGGAACTTGTTTGGATCCCGATTCGATCATCGTCGTTGATGTTGCGGGGCTTAATCGTTGATTATTAGGTCGACTCTTGCTTCGTAATTTCATGCGGTATTTCATTTATCCATTTGGTCTTTTTTTCGTTATTTCGTTTTTCATTCGTTTGAATATTTGAATGGAGGTAATGGAATAGTGAAAAGTTAAGATGATAATTATAAGATTTTTATTAATAGTAATAATTTTACGAAGGTTTTATATTAAATTATTTTTAGTAACTAATATATACTTATCAAATATTCTTTAAGGTTTAAGCTTTTTCTTGGTGTTCCTATTTTTTATAGGGATTTTAATTTTTGTTTTTTTTATAATTCAAATATTAATGATGGTAAATGATGAAATAATGATTATAAAATTTTAGAATTTTTCATCCCCTTTATGTTTGATATTCAATATAGGTATAAATTGAACTTACCTTTTTTTTTCTAGCTTATAAACTAAAAAATGTTTAATCCTAAAAGATTTGATCTTGAAGAAATGACTGATAAATACAGAATATAAATATTTTTTTAATAAGAAAAATATCTCGGATCTCCTTGTATAATAAGAATATTATCAAATAATATATTTTTAATTAATCAAATATATATTTGAAATAAACTTTACATATACAAGTATAATTCGATAATTTCTTGCACATAATAATTCCTACCTATATATTTTTATTTTCGTGGGAGATTCATTAAGAAGAATTTGGTTAATTAAAGTATAAATTGGAAATGTGAATAAACAGATAATATATATAATTATCTGTTAATAATATCAATGAATAATATCAAATGAATAAAAAAGAGGATAGGTTAAAAAATTCTTTCATTTTAAGAATTTTCCCATTGGGGAGTGTATAATATTTTAGAAATCTCGTTATAATAATATAGTGAAATTACATCTGGAGAAAGATAATCAGTGTAAATAAGCACGTATATAATTCTGAAATCTTTTTTACCCAATCTTTTGCATTATGCATGCGAGTATGTATCCAGTAATAAGAAAGGTTTCATATCAACAAAAGTAATTTAAAAGTGAATGGGATCCGTGTTATGGGGATGAAAGCATCGCAATTAGCATTTGAAAAAATTTTCAGAACTTAACGAGAGGAAGGTAAAAAATTTTATATAATCAAACATATAAAATTAAAGAAGTTAAAAACAAGAACAGGACTCGTTACAGGAAGGAAAGTTTGATTTTTTCATTTTGTACGTAAAATGTTGCATAAACAACTATACAATTACCAAATTTTTTTCTAAATTTTTAAAACTCTAATAGAATTCTTTTATCAAACAAAATCCAATAAAATGAAAGCATAATTTTTTATCCCCTTTCCAATTATTTGTCCTGTAAAAGATTATTCCCTTTGAATGATTTAATTTAAGTAAACACATTCGATACTTGCAATGAATAATTTCGAAAAGAAAATTATAAATTTTTACTGATTTATAACAACAAAATTTTTATTTTCAGAATAAAATAATATTTAAAAAAACTCGAATTCTTACAAAAATTATCTCATATAAATCTACAAAATTTAATTAAAAGCAATTAAAAGAAACAATTTTTTTCCATCCTATCCTTCGTAAGCGTAAAAATATGCATTACTCAACAAAATTAAAATTAACATAAATTAATCAATCGAATAAGTGTAATTGGCAAAAAAAAAAAAAAAAAAAAAAAGGAAAAAAAAAAAAAAAAAAAAAAAAAAAAAAAAAAAAAAAGAAGGAGAAAAAAGAAAAAAAAGAAAAACAAAACAAAAAAAAAAGGAAAACACAATAGAAGGGTTAAATTCACTTACGTAAGCCAAATCGAAATTGTAAGCCAAGCTCTCTTTTGTATACGCCGTTTAATCGGCGAACGTGCGCTTATCAATAGAATACGAACGCGTAACGTCCATTTATGAGTGTGACTGACATGA